ATATACAAAGAGGTCCAGGCAGATAGGGTACTACGTAGTATAACGGCCTCAGTGAGTATTAAATGGACATAAACCCATGTTTGCTGTGGTATGTACATAATTCATGCAGAATAATATTTGCTTGATGAGAGATGACATTGAAAAAAATGAAATTCCTTCCACATTACCTCGCATCCTGCCACTATCAGCCTCTCTCTCTCGCTCTATCTGGCTCTGCCGCTCTCTAACACACATTTTATATCGACTCTTATCTACAAATTAATTTATAAGGAAAAATACGTTACAGATTTAAAGATTAGAGGAATGTCACCGGCCAACCTCAGACACTAGATTGTCTACCTGTGGCATATAAGGGGCCAGATCTCTCCAAGACAAGTTCTGCTGGCTCAACATCAAGCTGGCTCTGAAAGTAATTTATAGCTTGGCTTTCACGTCATTTGCCTTTGCAAAGGTAAATAATCTAGTGACTTTAATGGTAAAATGTGAACAATGGTATCATTTCGCTGTCTTAGTGGGTCTGTGGGTGAGATACTTCAAAAATATAATCTCCCAAATGTAGTTTATAATATAAAGATAAGATAAGATATGTTTATTGTCATTGTACAAGTACAACGAAATATTGTTGGAACAAGCCTGTAGATGCCTAATATCAGAAATGTACAAATATACAAATACTAAAACCAGATATTCAAATAAGAAATACAATTAAGTAATACGATATAGTAAACAATATACAATTAATTTGCAGGTGACAGGTATAGAATAAATATATTGCACTTGGTTAAACAGGACTCCAGTGCCAAAAAATAATAAAATAGCTATAATTAATGCATTACCGACAAAATGTATCAGTCTAATACGGTTCATATTTGGATAACTTTTAAGCGTTTAAATGCTTAAATTATATACATCCTCAAGAAACGTTCCGGTATTATATTATGATGTTATTCTTGACGTGTGTTTTGTTTACGTCTTCACGTTCTCTTGCGCCCTCTGCCTTCCCAGGATGCATTGCGAGATCTGCAGTATATTATTGACAAAGAAAAGGGCTGGTGAGAAACAACAGCAGGGTGGGAGCTGAAGCCCAAACACAAGTGATAACATTAAAGATATACGAGCCAGTGCGTTGTTAACAAGGTAAAGTCTCACTCCTAGCTTTCCCGTCAAGTATCACATGTGTGTGTTTCGTGGTTTGTAATGACACTACGTGAAGACAACGTTAGTTTGCGATCTGCTAACATCTGGGGCTAAAGCTAGCTACCGTTTACCTTCTGTAGCATTAGCTAAACAACATGTTACTGCTCTGCCATACACTGTCATGTTGTGTGGTTGATTTCAGGCTAATCATTAGATACGAACGCGTTATTTACAACACCCTGTTGCTGAATTTATAACTAATATAGTCACATTATCACGTCATTTCTCACGTCTGTTTTTGTTATTACCTACAGTTTACCTGAATAAGGTTAAAAACTAAACCATGATGTTTTATATGTCAGTTAACAAGAACTTGAAAAATGGGTTTATGTCGATGATATAATGGATTCACTGTGTTTGTTTAATGTGTACGTGGAGAACAAAAGTGTTGCAACACCAAGAAAGGTTCAGCATGTAAACACCAAGAGTCATGTGACCTGCCACATGGCGTTCAACAATGCTTTCCCTTTTCACATTTAAAAAACTTACCTTTAATACAATTTGCCCAGTACTATCTTACAATTAAAGTAACCCCCCCCCCCCCAAACAAAACAACAACAACTACAACATTTGTCAGCAATTTAATGTGCGAGAATAAGTCCTGAAGAATTTGATGAATCACTGTCATTAATTTAAATGTGCAATTTGCAACAGCGGTATTAACTTATACAAAAGTTGATACTGAATAATGTGGTTTCATGAAACTTTCCTGTTGGAGCCATGGATTGATATAATTGTCTTTGTGGTATTTATTTAAGGTTAAGGTAGTCTGTTATATATTGGTGTGTTGGGTTATTGATTATTATATCATTTATTAGGATTATATTGAGTAGGGGGATGTCGGGTCACATGGGTATGGGTGGAGATGTGTTGGTTTAACTCACATGTTCACCTTTTGTTCTCAGTGGAAGAGAGGGGGTGAGCTGGGTTGCCATATTTTTTGTTGACCGCTATTGTTTCTGGTTCACTGTGATTATGAGTTAATGCACGTTATTATAAGTTAAGTTGATTACCTTTTTTACATTAATAAAAAAAGTCAAACTTATTTTTACGTATCACAGTATTCTTTTGAAAGCGCGTCGGACAAATACATCAGGCCCAACCTTAGCCTCTCAGCGGCTTCATATTTAGGAAAGCTGCTATATTTCCAATGTCAATGTGTGTGTTACTGGCCTCCTAAATCCAGTAATGGTTTGGCATTAGTAAAAACATTCATTGTATTTGTCATGTTAAAAAAAACATTGATGGGCACAAATTCTCAAGAAACAAGAAACAGCAGCTGTTGGCTACTTAAATGGAATATGAAATGCATCGTTTCTGATTTAATGTCAAGGCAATAGAGATTTAAAATGCCATACAAGTGCCTCTTTTGTCAGTACAATTTATTTATCCCTTGTGTTTCTTCACAGTTCCTTGTTTTGGCTCTGAGGCAATGATTGAGGACAAGCGCCACTTCCACCTACAGGGAGTTTACACAGCTTGATAGTTTGTGGAAAGAGGGGTGGGGGGGCCCAGGCAGACTGTGGACGGGGAAGGGGAAGAGCTCAGCTGGAGCCAATGCAGCAGCAGCATCGACAGCCTGAGCTGGTGGAAGGAAGCCTTCCCGTGTTCGTGTTCCCCACTGAGCTCGTCTTCTATGCAGATGAGCAGACGTCTCACAAGCAGGTGCTCACCCTCTACAATCCATATGAATTCGCGCTCAAGTTCAAAGGTCAGTTGGCAGAGTGAAACAACCTATTTGGGTATCCATGTATGGCGTACTTTGGTTTTAGATTATCGAAATAATCTGTACTTTCTTCTTGTATCAGTGCTGTGCACAGCGCCAAACAAGTACACTGTGGTTGATTCCACCGGAGCTGTCAAGCCACAGTGTTGTGTTGACATGTAAGTTTTTTTTTGTTTGTTTTTTGGTTATGTTCCAGAAGACATACCTTCCCTGTTTATTCCCCATCCACATTGTTATTGTTTATAGATTGGACTGTACATTTTGCCAAATGCTTTTTTATACAGCTAACTTCATGTGCTATCTGGTCAAATCTGTCCACACAGAGTAATCAGACACAGAGATGTCCGGGCATGTCATTACGGGGTGTACGACAAGTTCCGTCTACAGGTGTCCGAGCAGAGTCAACGGAAAGCTTTGGGTCGCAAAGAGGTGACGGCCACACTTCGGCCCTCTGCCTCACAGGAGCCACCCAGCCCTCGACCCCATGATGAAGAACACAGACTCAAAGAGCAGTTTACAGATAGCGAGTTTTTTGAACAGACTGCATTTCAGACAGGTAGGATTAGATATGATTATGTTGGGTTACCACTAGATGGAGCCAAATGTTTAGAAACTTAATTATGGGTGCTTATTACCATATACAGGACATGGTGTGTTTAACACAGATTTTTGTCGCCTGTGGAAATGACCATTACCCTGTTTTACTCTCCTAGAATGTATAAAAGGCATTTGACACATAAACTGATTGACATATATTGTAATGTATAAGTTGTAATTGACTTTAATATTCAGTTGAAATAATTGGCTTGGGGCTGAAAGCCTCTGTGGCTTTCTAGGTGATTTATCTGATTGTGTGCTTTTTGTGCCTCCAAGAGAGCAGACCTGTTGCTGGAGGCCCGAGTCTGCTGACAGTGCTGCTTGGCCTGGTATGTATGGCTGCTCTGATGCTCCCCACCTTAGGGGAGCAAGAATCTACTGTGCCTGTCTACCTCCACTTAAGTGTTAACAAGAAACTTGTAGCTGCTTATGTTCTCGGTAAGTGGAAAAGGAAACATTCAAAAATCATTTTTTAATAGACAGCTATATATTTTAAATTAAAAAAAATTGTTTCTCCAGGTCTTCTTACGATGGTCATCTTACGCACATGAAACGCTGTGAGCCAAGAGAAGGATGGAAAACGATAGAAAGGCGAAGAGAACACTCACACCAGAGGCACTACTCTGCAATGAGTACAGCTGACAGTAGTGGGATAGGGTACTTGCTCAGTTTTTACCTTCCCACAAAAACTTATTTTAGTATATTTTAATCCACTTATTTGTGTTGATCTATACACGATACTTACTGACCTGTTACAAACAAGAGAACTTTTAAGTGTAGCTCAAAGGATTGGCAGTGTGAGAGGAGCTGACCCTGAGCAGGGCCTGTGAAGAAACAGGAGGCCACTAGAAAGTGTATTTTGGCCTCGTATACTCTATCTGTATTTTTCAGTTGCCATTATGTAACAGAATATGGTTAACCTGAGTGTGAAGGAATCTACATGCAAACATGATACATGTACATAAAGCCATTAAACTTTTGTTACGATATTCACCTGTAACCATCCCTATGTTGATGTTTTGAGTCATTTTAGTACTGACTGATTTTTATGCATGTTTGGAGAGTGTTTATGAGTTTTTATTTTTCCAGGAATAAGATTCTTTGACATGTCACCAAAGGTTCAAATCTTCTTTTGTAAGCGATGCTCTGTTCGCCGTATTCTATCAATGCTCCAAACATTTAATAAAATATCCATGTGGCTGTCTGTTACGATGTTCACATCAAATCAAGTTATTAAGTTCAGCTTATGAGGGGCAGGAGTTAATTACATGACAATAACTTCTCTTTTCACTTTGTAACAAATTCCTACAGTCCGTGTCAGGGCTGTTTGATATACAGTTTGAAACTGGAAACACGATTTGTTATGCTAATTTCTCACTGGGTAACAAAGGAGTCAAGGTTTATAAATGGCACATAATGTTAACATAAGAAAGTCTGAATGAGTCTTGTGCTGCAGACAGAAAAAAAAAAAACCTTCCTGGAATATTCAGCTCCACAGTCACATCAGAGAAATAATTTATTTAATCCTGATGTCTGCTATGATTGCAGTCAAACAAAGCATGGGCATGATGTGAGCCAGCTTAAAAGATGACAGCCTTTTGATCACAGACACAAAGTATAACATTTACTAGATTCATGCCCTGAACGTTTTAGATGACCTAGAAGAAAACTTGAAAAATATCTTGTCAACAGCAGAACAAGTAGACCATTGCCCACTCTCTGATTTGTAGAAAGCAAAAGACAAAGTGAACTGCAAACACAGATTTAAACTAAAGGGCACACTTCCATAAAATGACTTACAATCTCTTCCTTTTGTACAGAACTCATTAAAGGCTACAGAACCATGAAGGAGTTTGTGCTGTGTCAGTTAAAGCACATGTAGGTGCAGAAATCACAGTACATGCTAAACCTCCTGCATACTGTTATTTCAGGGCTGTATTACAAGAAAGTCAAGTTTTACTTCTCCGCTTACACAGTGGCTGAAACATCACAGGGTTCATATCATGTGCAAGAAGTTGATACAAAATGAATCCACAGCAGAAACAGCAGTCCTTAACTCACGATGTGATGGTGACATTTTGGTTTTTTTGCTAAACATTGCAGCAGTAAGTTGACTCGGTTTAACTGAAAACATCAAGGTTTTTCTACTAGGGAATAAAATATCACCATCCATTTTTGTATATATACTTTTTCTATAAATAACAACATTTTTTTTAATACTCTGCTTATCTACAAACATCCTGACAAGAACACAGGATACAGAGGAACCTGTAGTGTTGAAAGCCAAACAGTGAAGACCATTTTACTTCAGCCACAATTTACCACTAGGTGCATACTGGGTATAAAAGCCTAGAAGAACCCACCACAGTTCCCCGCCCCCATCATAAAAATATGAATATGTGCTGAAATGACTTTCAATATAACAGAATAGAAACCTCCACAGATCTAAACCAGAAGTTTGTTCCTTTACAACAAACACCTTTGCTGTTGAAGACCTCTGCCCACATTCACCTCACAACAAACTTAAAACTATGTACCACATTTGACAAGTTTAATATTTACATAATTACAAACAAAGCAGGGAAACAATAAGTTAAATCTTTTCTTACAACATTTGCAGACAGCATACATACAGAGGCCTGTGGACAGACGTTCATCAGCACAAATCAAAGAGAAGTACACATCCAGCTGTCTTTACATGTCCAGTGCTCAATGTCTCTCCAGTGATGGGAAACGGCAGCCTATCCACTTCAGAACACAAGTTCACTATGAAAGCCATGTGGTGCTCACAGCATCTTCCGGCCTGTGTGATTTCACCAGGCTCCCCTCTTGCACACGCAATCTCATCCATGGCTTCCATTTCCTGAACACAAACATATCTCACCCCTCCAAAATGTAGCCATACACATCTGATACAAACATGGAAAGCTCCACTTTAACCAAATCGAGGCGCTAATGGAGGGTCTGAGGAGGAAACATGTTCCCTGGAGAGAAGCTTCTGGGGGGCGCCGTTCCTTTGTCGTTTCTTTAGTCGTCCCACGCTCACTTTGGGGACAGATCCTGGAGGGAAGCGAAGGGAGAGTTGCTGGACGAGGAAGGCGACACTCCCTCCATTTTGCCGGGTGAGTCTGTGGACGAGCCGACGCTGCTGAGGCTGCCATCCAGCAAATCTGGAGAGTGACTGAAAGAAGAACAACAAGTTGAGTTAAGACTATCAAAAAGTGAGACTTAGGAAAACAGAGTGTTACCCTTTACATTAAATACTCTGGGAGACAGAGAGCTCGCCTACATCTCACATCTGATTCTATTGTCTGTGAGCTTAAAAAACATGATGTAAAAAACAGAAAAGTAATCATAGGATGGGGTTTAAGTGTGTTAAAACTTGAACATTTCCTGGAGGCTGGACCAAGTGAAGAGAACTGGATAAATAAAAATATCTATGACACGGTGAAAGTCCAGACTCCTGACATCCAAGCACTGATCAAATCACTGATTAAAAGTCAGTGATCACTGATCAAATCACTGATTAAAAGTCAGTGATCACTGATCAAATCACTGATTAAAAGTCAGTGATCACTGATCAAATCACTGATTAAAAGTCAGTGATTTTTGTAAAAGAGATAAAATCATGTATGCATGTAAATTATGACAACATGATCAGCTCATTGTTGTTATTAATAATTAATCATAGGATAAATAATAACAAACATGTACTGATCTGTTAGAAGAATCTCAGTGAGTAGCACACATCAAACCTCTCTACAAGTTTAACATGAAAAGGTAAACTCTAGTTTCAAGTCCTATTTTAATTTACAGGTTGTTTTGGTGTCCAATTGTAGTACGAGGAGAATCATGCACTGGTGTTTCATCAGGCTTTGACTTCACAAAGTAAAGTGTCCTTGGCTCAGAAATATTTGAGCCTACATTCAATCCTGAAAGCAGCCATTAACGACAATTTAGCTTTCTTTATCGTCATTAAGTAGATATCTGCATCCAAGCGCAGCTAACAGTCTTCGTTTACATGTCGTTTCTCAACACAAAAACTCCACCACTGCTTCTTATGTACATGTCTTTTTACTGATCCACATCTTACCAGGTGAGATCTGACAGGTTGGACACATCGGAGGACAGCATAGTGGTTGTACCCTGGAAGAGCCTCTTAGGTTGACTCTCAGTCTCCATCTCCCCTGCAGAGTGAAGAGACCCCAACCGTTAAGACAGTTTTCGTCCCAGAAACAGTTAGGTTTAAAGGGTTCTGTTGTTATCAAACTCTGAGAATGAATCATATAATATAAGGATCTCATTGGTTTTCTATCACAAATCGAACAGTCCCTAAAAGCTTGATTTGAGAATTGTCCATTGAATATCAATCAGTTAAACAGAAAACAAACTGAACGATCTGCACGGTCAAATCAATCAACTGAATTATATACACTTCTTTTTATTCAAGCCTCAAAAGTCAATGAGGTTTCCCCTCATTGACAATAAACCCAATTGAAGACCCAGCTGAACGACCTCAGACATAGAGGTTTAATGTTTAAGTGGTCTTTCAATATGAACTAAATAAAGCCAAAGTCACTTTAACACAACTCTTACCTTTGGCATTAATAAATCATGTTTACTGTCTGTCTCCACTTATTTTCTTAAAGGACTTACAAGTCTAAATATGACACAGATCACTTTTATCCATGTATAAAGTGTCTGTTAGGATTTTCACAGGTATTACATTTACTCTGAAAGCATTACGTAAACTCCTTCAGACTTTCACTCGTGGCAGCACGCTCACCTTTACGTTTCATGGGCCCTAGTATGCTGGCTCTGATGCAGTTGATCGGGCTTTGACTCCGTCTGCTAAAGAGAACAGAAGTCACACAAGATGTCAGACAGTACATTTACAAACTCAGCAGTACTCTGAGCTACATTTAGAAATCATTGACAAGCTTTTCTCTTAAGATTTGTCTTCATTTTTTACACTTTAGGATGGACACAATTAGGATATTTCATTCCTTCTGGACCTTTGTTAAGTGTGATCTCCAACAATATCTCCACCATGGTCTTTAGATTTTAAACATAAATTAATGAAGGCAAAATACATCATGTTCTATGCCACCGAGGAGAAATGGAAATCAAAACAGAGTCAGCTGGTGCTAAAGTCTCACTGTGAACTGATTTCTAATACAAACAAGTATACTGACCAGGAGTAAAGTTAAAGTAACACCAGTAGATTATATTATGTATGCATGTAATAAGCTGCAGTAACTACGGCCATCTGAAAGCGGGTGCTCACCTGAAGCGGCGAGTTGGGCTGGGAATGGGGCTGGGCGTTAGGCCATTGCTGCTCACCAGGATTTGTAGTGAAGGAGAGAAACACTGCTTCTTGAGAAAAAGAAATAAAAACAGACAATGGTGATGTCATCAAAAACACATCAGCATCTACATCTGCTATGATGGATGTTCATTATTTAACTAGTGCCATATATTGTTTGTTACTTTATTAAATAATTAAGGTGTATACACCTTTAAAAAACTAAACAGAGATAAGGGAATGTAATAAAAACAAGAAAATAATTTCTATGCTGGAAATGATTGAGCTAGTGGCTTTTAAGATTGGAAAGTTGATCTATTAAGTTGCAGTAAACAAATGTACCACTTAAGTAATGTTTGTTCAATAGCTTCAGTGCGTCTTACAGACTGACACTAATACTTCCTATTAATAAACCAGATTTGAAGTTATTAAGAAAATCAGGCTACAGAAAGGCTTGAACTGTTACCTTTATCTAGCAGTTTAATCCAGTTATGTGTGTGTTCACATTGACAGGTCATATTTACCTTTTTTCCAATCCCTCTGGTTGGGGACGGGGCGGGCGACACCGGCACAAAGTCTACGCGCTTTGGAGAACATGATGCAGATTTCTCCTGATCATTGTCACTCTGAAAACACACAGTAAACATAAGATATTGATCACCACGTCACCTTATATCACATCTCTACAGTACTGTGTACAGAGGTAGTACAGTCATTCATAGTGTCGGAGTATTATACTACCACTCAGTCTGACCTTGAGAGACTGGTGGCCCTGTTAACTCCTCAAGTGTTACTTTAGCATGTTGTTTAACTTGTCATCTCCACAGAAATCAAGAGAGACAAACCCAGAGTACAAACATGCAGTTAGAAAGTACATCACAGCTAACTTTCAAGGATTCAGAAGAGAAGAATAAATCAACAGCATGATGTGTGGAGAGTGATGCTTTACCAGACTAAGGCTTTCTTCCCAGGATTGGCTCATCTGCATGGCTGTTTGAACTTCCCTGTGTGCACAAACACAAGTAAACAAGAGGTAAGACTTTTCTTTTTAGCATTTAACATATAATGAACTAAAAAGTTAAATCCCTTAAAAGGACAAACTAAACCTTAAAGACAGTGCTTACCTCTCATGAGCTGTTTCTCTGTTCATCACGTCTACGCCCTCCTCCTGCAAGAGCACACAAGAGAAGTCATGGTTATGAAGTCTTTGAACTGTACATCTCATTTCACTTATGGGATTGAACGACATCCTGAGATAACAGCTCAGTATTCATTTCTTCTGTTGGAGTCCGATACTACCAAACGGTCAATTCTGAAAGATCGATGGCCCTGTGAACTCCAAAATGTGTTACTGTAGCATGTTTCTTTGGACACCGTCACTCCCTATGGCTTGAGAGGGAGACAGTGGTCTGACATGCGTCTTTCAAAAATAAAAACTAGTGGAAAACAAAAACAGGCCTTATTCTTACCTGTTTGATCTGATGGAGTCGGGTGCTGGGGACTCGTATGGGCGATGATGGGACCTGTAAAGAAGGAAGTTTGTCACAAAACATTTTTATAAAGAATACAATTAGACGCTTGACAAAAGAGTTTGTGTTTTTAATCAAATATTTTACCATGTTGGGTCTGTTGACAACTGTAGTGCTATTTCTCCGGCTTCGCAGGACCTCTCTCTGGAACACTTGGGAGTTATCACTTGAAAGACACATTTAAACTTTAAGTCAGGAGTCTTTTGCTTATGAAATCAGTATAATGTATCAACTTCAACAAAACATGAAGCACTTCTATAGGTTAATGCATTCTGAAACTATGACATATGTATAACCTTAAGCCATTAATCATGGGTGCACTGTTGGATCTCCTCAGGTGTCCATCGCTTTGGATTACAGAAGATGGGATGTCCAGATCCAGCTCCATCTTCTCCTGTGGCAACACTCCTGGATGGTTCATCTTTACCAGCTTTACCTCCTCAAGTCATGAACTTTAAGTGGCTATAACCAGCTCAGTGATGTTACATGGTTTCTCTCCCAACTTTGCAAACTTTACATCATTAAAAGATATAATCTGCATCAGAGCTGAGGTGAAACAAAGTGAGTCAACACAACAATCTGCAAAGGCCCTGTAGTCTGTTTAACTCCTGCTAACACAACACTTTAAACATAACTAATGTAACTCTTCATTTCACAACTACTTGGCTGGCCCACATTGACCTGTGCTAACGTTTTCTTGTAACGCTATGACCAATGAGCAACTTTCTTAATGGCTGGTTAGCATACCATGGCTACATACCACACAATGCCCGAAGCTACTGTTAGCTACATGTTAGCCAAACAAATCGACAGCTTACTTCGAGTGCTAAATAAATGTTCGCCTTCAGCCTAACGACGCTGTTATTAAGTGATTGTCATAACGCGACTATAGCATTATCAAACAGTGTTACAGGCTAAGATAAGCTAGTGTTGTTATACCCACAGCGCAGCTACCGGGCCTGTTCGGCTAACTAGCTAACTTAGCATCAGCGCCATGTCCACAGAGAGGCCGGTGTCCACTTCACTAAATCATCCTTCCCACAGCCTGGTAGATACTAAAGGTGAGCAGGAGTACACCAAGGCACCCCCGTTGTGATAAATGATACGCTGTAAACAATCAGTTTTCGTTTCTGCAAACTAACCGACCAGGATGAACCTAATCCCAAAATGCTCACATGGGAGCTAGTTGCTAACAGAGACTACACGCCACGCCCCTTTTTAACGTTAGCAGAGCCGGCCAATGAAATTGCTTCACTGCCGGCGTGCTTGTTGGGCGAAATGTTGCGGACTGCGCTATCAAGTCAGCTGTAATGTGAGTTATTTAACTGTGCATAACGAAACATGTTGCTTCTGAAGTTTTTGTTTGTCTATTGTCTTTTATTCTTGACCTTTGCCCTTAGGGGGCCAAAAAACTGATAACTGAGCTCAATCAATTAAACCTTTCCATATCCCCAGATATTACTGTACCATGTACTTTGGTCGGAATCATGAACATACATGTAAACAACTTTAAGTTAAGTAACTTCATCAGGTCCTGACCCTCATGTTCACTGAGACTCAACTCGTTTCCACTCAGCTCAGTTAATACCTACAGCAGACAGCTGGGACTTTATTTGTCCCTGGATTTGGCCTTTGTACAAAAAGATGTTTAACATTTCTGAATTTATTATATTGAGCACATCACTGAATTCCCTTGCAGTTTCACAGCTCATTGGTCAGATATTATTTCAATGCTCCAAGTATTCTTTGTTATATCATAATCAAAGCTTTGTAGTACAATCCACTCGAGTTGTGAACATTTAATGACCAGTATTGCAAAATTTCAGTCTACACTGGTTACAGTGAATGTGCCAACAAATTAAAGCATATATAATAATAATAATAAAAAGCATGGTCAATTATGTCTGATAAAATAACAGGTTGATACAGTCTTTGTATTTCAAATATATGATTGAACAGGTTCAGTCTAACAATCAAGCAAATGTTTACACATCTGTAAACTTTACGGTTAACAAACATCCAGCATTTAAATAAATCCCTGTCTCATGTTATACTAAGTCATAACATGCATGGATGCTTTAATTTGATAACACAGTATATCTCATCTTTCAGTATTAGCATGTTTTAAATTAGAGACAGAACCAAACATCTGTCTGACCTCTGTAATTATCATACCATATGAAAATCTCATCACACAGCAAAAGTAAAATAGAAAAGCATTTTGTTCAAAAATACATGCGTGCAGAATTCAGAAAATACAACATTTTCCTTACGAGTACCCATCATAAAATTCCTTTTTTCAGTTTTTAAGTTCAAAATCAAAGAAGAATCACATTTAAAATAGTTTCTGAATAGATCTTCAAAAGTGGTTTGAGCACAACTGTGATCTTATCATTAAAGCTCATTGCTCTAAATTATTTACTCCATTGCAAAAAAACAATTATGAGTGAACGTGCACATAATCAGGTGACACTGGGCTTCATGTAACACAGACGAGGTTCTATCTAAGGCAAACATGTTTTGGGGGCATGTTTGGGGGCTAAAACGGGCTCCATCAGGGACCCTACGCACTGGTTTTATGACACAAACATGAAGTGATACAAAATGGACCGCAAAAGGAAAAGATAATCATACATTTAAATGGTTACAAATTGCTCTTCATGCCTTGTACTTCTCCTTCCCCGATTCACTAATGACGCAGATATGCTGAAAGAGAAAGAGGTTGTGAGTTTTGCGCCACATCTTTGATGTACATTACATTTGAGAGGTTTACACCGGACTTCACTTTAAGGAGCATAAAATAAAGCTACTTTTTGTTTCTTCATCTATTTTTGATACTTACATTTAGATCTCTGAAGTACTCGTTGTAGTCTAGTGCGTATCCCACCACAAATTTGTCAGGGACCTCGAATCCTACAACTGAGAGAAATTAAGAAAAGATCAGTTTCTGTAGAAAACCAACAGAACTGACAGCGTCTAAAATATCATTCAAAGCACACTTTGTGTGCACAGTGAATAATACAAATTATGTGTTAAACTCTGTAATTAATTCAACCTTTATTCAATCTCAAGAAAGCATTAAGGAGAAGCCTTTGTTTTTATTTGATTTGGTGGGTAATGTAGTTCTTTTCCCTGATAAAACAAATAAATCATGTTTTTTTTTTTAAACGAGGTAAACAAACTTTTTTCTCCCACAGGAGCATAAACCATCGTTTAACACTCAGGTAGCTCGTGGTCAGTCTACCTTGGATAGTTCTGATATTATGGCTAATAATCAAATCGGCTATGGAGACAATTGATGGGATTTTTACTTCCAGAACCAAACACAGTTGAGCCCTGTTGTATTGAGCTTTAATGCTTTTGTACTGTGTTCCAGGTGTAAGCAGCACAAAAGGTAAAGGGCGTTTTCCCAGTGTTTACTTCTTCAGTCATGATCAGACTCCATCAGTCACTTGATCGAGTCTGAGAAGATACCAAGACACTAATACTGAGGGTAGCTTTCAATATTATGACACTCCAATTTAGAAACATTTCTAAAATTAAGCCGTCCCTGTCGACCAAAAACCTGGAAATAGTCCTTCATGCTTTTATTTCATTGAGGTTAGATTACTGTAACTCCCTCTTCTCCGTCTGCAGTAAAACATCTCTCTCTCTCTACAACTAGTACAAAACACTGCTGTCAAGATTTTAACAGGTACCAAGAGAAGAGAGCACATCTCACCTATCCTTGCACTGGCTGCCACTTAGTTTTAGAGCTGATTTTAAAACTTTAATAGTTTGAAGAGCAGAACGGTTTGACCCCGTCTATTTCTGACCTTCTAACTGCTCATGTACCATCGGGGGCTTTGAGGTCCTCACATGCTGCTCTCCTGGTGGTTCCAAGGTCCATATTAAAAAACAAAGGTGACGGAGCGTTTGCCCCCAGACTCCTTGAACAACCTTCCAGAGGAGATTAGGATGGCAAAGACTATTTCCTCATTCAAGTCTAGCCTTCCTGTGACCCTTTATTTTATCCTCCCTCTCCATCTGGTTTGATTAATTTATTATGTTTTATTACTGTTTTACGCCTTACTGTTTATTCTATGTAATGTTTTATTGATGGTGATTTCTGTCCTTATTCATCATTCATCACTATACATCATCATTAACACTTCATGATTCTGTTGTTTTATCCTGTAAAGCACTTTGTAAACCTTGTTCTGGAAAGGTGCTACATAAATTAAGTTTATCATTATTCCAGAGTTGTTGTAGGTACGAACTCTGCATTTCAAAGAGTAACTTCTGAAAACACAAAGTTTCACTCACAGTCCGGTCGATAGCCAACATTTCTTGGTGTTCTCTTAACCAACAAACTGAGGACAGAAAATAAGTTCATCAGCATTCATACACTCTGAATTTGAGTGAAAAATAAGTTGCTGTTATAAAAAAAACATAACATGAGTCCACATGATCTAGTTTAAGGTACTCATGAGGATCTTACATTACCTTGCTACTTTAACCATTTTGGGATTGTACTGTTTGAGCAGCTGCAGTAATGTCTTCATGGTCTTCCCTGTGTCGATGATGTCCTGATGACGGAGCGTGAGAGAATCTCATATTAGAAGATATCAAACGGAAAGCCGGGGCTGCCTGACTACAGAAGAAAACACAAATACATACCTCCACAATCAAGACGTTCTGAAAAGAAAAAGCAGAAATAACTGAAAAACAGTGAACTGGTCACATTTTTATCTTTCATGTGTTTAAACTTAAATGTAACGCAACAAGAATGTAATGCTAAGCTTTCTCCTGACTTTGGCCTTATCACACACTGCATGCTGAACAATGACCACATCCTTCTAATGTTTTCATCAGAAGCTAATGAAGTCATACTGTGAGAGGTAGGAAGTGAAAAATGAAGGGATTTCTAACAAAGATAAATGGCGTTATTAGCAGGTAGCAGCCTGTCACATGAACGCTCTCACAGTCACAGACAATAGGCCGTAATCGTTATCTGTACGTGCTTCTAAATAGGATCAGAGGGTCCTTGTAAAGTGTGTCTTGTCATATCTTATCTCTTATCTTACAACTTGTTTCTAACATTATTCAGTGAATACCTTAAGTCAGTTTATATTAAACATAGTGGCATCACAACATCATTAGATATAGAACACATTGCAGTTTGTTAAATCAAGTTAAATAAATGTCATCCTTATAACCACAGGAGCAACAGAAAGTGTTTCAGTAATAATCATTCCACACTTTTTTACCTTCCCGGTTAATGTAGAGAGGTCATCTCCACCGATGACTTTGATTTCTCCTGTCGACTGGTCGTTCTGTGAGGACAAAAGAATATGTTGTAAACGTCACATTTGAGATTATATTGGTATTTAAAGAGTATCAAGGACCAAAACGCCTAAACAGGGGGGATGATTTATGCAAAGAATTTAAAGTAGTTTATGTGGATGTTTGTTTTCATGTGCATCAAAGAGTCCACATCCAGTAAACAAGTCATGTTTACATTTAGTGCATCCCCGTCCCCCTGTTGTCACATGTAATATGAATTTGTGCCAGAAAAACTGAATAACGAGAACATTGGTTACATGGACTTGTTTAACACTTCTGTAGTCTTTGGACAACTCAAAGCACTTAAACACTACATGTCACATTCCTCTATTCACGTCACATTCACACACCGATGGCAAAGGGCGGCTACGTAAAGTTCAAAACTGTCCATCAGTACTATTCCAGTCACACACCTCTGGCGATGCAATATGTCTTCCCCATGGACACTTTGACATGTCACTGCTGGATTTTTATGCTGAACTCGCTTGGAACAGTTGGTTTGATGTTGAAAAAAAAGTTTCAATGAGCATCGGAAACACTGAAGACACTTGAATAAAGAATAAAGAATAAATCATGGGGTGCCAGAAAACCGTGCTGCATGTCATCCTCCACTCTCTCCTCTTAATGTTTCCTGTCTCTCTTATCTAATAAAGGCAGATACCTGGGCCCCTATTTTATCATCAGCACATAGAGAATGGTCTAAAAGCTGTCTTATGAATTCAATTTACAAGAAAAATAACTATTTTTCAAACACACATCGGTATGTAATCAGTGTTGATAAATCCCACGTTGTTACCCAGCAGGCTTATGCACGTTCATTACAATGTTCCACCGTTAGATTCTGTATGTAAGCATGGTCAGAGCTGTGTTTATAATAAAGATACATTTTTCTCTTTGCTTATGAATACAGTCATTATGCACACATCTGTACGTAAACACTGTTGATAAATGAGAACCCTGGACTACAACTAAATGGACTCGACTTGAGCTTGTAAATCGCTTTTCTAGTCTTCTGACCACTCAGAATGATTTTACACCACAGGTCATACCTACCCATTCACACACTGATGGTAGAGGCTGCTATGAAAAGTGTCTACCAGTATTAGACAATCCCATTCACACACCACCCATGAAGCAGCGGGAGCAACTTGGGGTTAAGTTTCTTACCCAAGGACACATCAACACACTCAATTACAAGACAATTGAGATGAAATGATTACTGTGCCGCATGCCGTGGTGCGCTTGTTTTGTCCATAGGTTTTGTCGTGTGTGGTAAATGAGGCGCGCCCTCCTTCCCTTTACAACACAGCGTGTGCTCTGCCCCTCCCGCCAGCAACAGCTCTCGCTTTAATTAAAGGGCGGAGCAGACGGAGCAAAGGCACATAGTATCAGACTGAGTGGCTGCTACTTCTTTTTTTTTTTTTTAAGGTTTAGAAAAGGTTTTGGGAGGTGGTGTGTTTTTGACTGGGGCTGTTTGTAGTTATATTTTGGTCATAAGAATAAATCATCACTACCTCAAAAAAATAGTTTATTTATTTTTATATATTTGTTATTTGTTCATTAATTGCTTGTTTTTCTGAGTTTCCAGATCGTATAAATTAAATTAAACCGTGTGATGCGGATGTTGTGAAATCAACATGGAACAGGATCTCAGTAAAAACTAAATGTGATTAGGATTCCTGGCCATGAACGAGAAGCCCTAACACACACACCACAGTTCTGATTATTGTGTCACTTCAGCTTTTCTAGCAGCCCCCCCCCCCCCCAGTGCAGCTGCTGAGGAGTAAGGTATGTTGGAGACAGTAAGTGTTTGTGTCCATGACAATGCCAGTAACAGTGTTTTCAAACCAGCAACTGCTTTTTTCTAACGACTGCTAAATACAGCAATGTGAGTACTACTAATATTACTGAAAATGTCTATTCTTAAAAAAAAGATATGAGTTAGATTACACAGTAGCTCTTGAGACGGATGAAGTCCACTGTCATTGGGATAGAGCGGTCACTGTTCCTGTTCAGGGCCTTGATGTAGTCCAGCAGGTCTGCAAAGAACTTGTAACCCCCTTTAAGCACACAGAGGGCCACAATGTGGTGCCCCCCCATTTCCTTCATGATCTCTCTGGCCAGTCGTTCTGTCCTGAGATCGGGAGAGAGAAAGAGAGAGAGGGTGATCAGCTCATTTTTCTGCTACAGTCAACAGTAGTTCCCATTTCCTTTCTGTTTGTTCAGCGGGCACAGCATTTGTTTCTAAAGCACACAAATAAAACGACAACAAGGATAACCAGCTAAAAGAAACAAAGGTTATCTTTATTAATTCAAGAGTCCCAAATCTGTTGAGAAGATTTAAAAAGCAGAAAGAAAACACACAACAGACATTTGAAAAATGCTTCAAACATTTGAAAACTTTAATCGTTAACATAATTTATGATGGATCATCAAGTAACTACAGGATCTTGGACACCCAGAGAGTGTTTGCTCAGACTTACTCATCAGCCCAACTGCCTTTTATATGACCCTGACTTTCATAACATTCATTTAACAAACCTCCCCCCAAGCAACCCACCTGTCTAAGATGAGTCCATGTGGGATGTAGACTTTCTCCAGGTCAGTGGCATAATGCTTTGGTATGCAGAAAAGGTCCAGGTCATACCCCTGCTCCTCATCACTGATCTGTAGTAAAACATGATACTGAGGGGTTAAAAAAAATCACAGAGATATTACCAAACATGGACATGGAGTCATCACCTGAAAGAGGGGTCAGTAGGGTAAAGCCTGCATGATCCGAAGCACAATCAGAGCTGTTATCAGCATGCAGAAATTAGTTCCTCCCAAGTCAATAAAATTATACCACTTTATTGAACACTAAATCAAAAAATGTCATGTAACTACAATAAAGCATTGTCCCTCTTTGCCTTTAAAATTGAAAATATGTCATTGTGTTTGGGCTTCCCCCACTTTCCACTCCAAACGATGACTGACACCGAGCAGATGCCCTCATGAGTCATGGTAACGCGACGGAGTATTTTCCACTGTTATCCACAGCATTGGTGCCTTTTACATAGCTGCATGGGGGGAAAAAAAATCAGCCAGGGTCAAATGCTGGGCAACCTTGAATGTTTGTGAAAACAAAGTAAATGTTTGGCACACTGCAATGTGCAGCCCATTTTATTTGAAAAGTCACTGTTTTGAATGCCATTTAAGCAAAATGTGCATTTAGCTTACTTAGAGTCTGCATTCTTGCAAGCCAGCAGTTTGTTAAAACATATTAATAAAACAGAAACTTTAAAGTTCCTTGTTGAACAGAACATTGGTCTTTTATTATTTAGCAATACCATTTCAACGTAGCAATAATGTGGAATCTTGGGTTGTAAATTAAATTGCGATAACAACACAAATACACACTCATAACATAACACATGCAAAGAACAACATATTTCCACAAAATGTATATGGAATTTTCTGTCCTGTTGTAAAGCCTCGTAAACAGCATTGACTGAGGGTCCCATTGGAAAAAGAGATAGACGACAAGACACCTCCTTTATTCACGAATCTGCATTTCCATTTCACAGTTGTGATGTCACATTCTCAGATGTAACCTTAGTGTTTGCCTGCAGCCTGATGGATAAGTGATTACTTGACTCTTTTTTTAAGCCAAGCATCAACATAATGTCCACACACGCCCCCCTCGTTTGCAGCTTGTTGTTTTCAGAATGAGAGAGTAAATACACAATAATGGCGTAATAACACAGAAAACATGTGACCTGCCTTCATTCACAGTAGTCCACACATTAAGTTATAATAAAAGTTATGATGTGTCAATCATTAAGCGCTCATTACGTCACGTACACGTGCCTATCAGTCTCTGCAGCCTCAGGCCACGTTACAGAACAAATACACTGCACATATGTGTGTGTGTGTATATATATATATATATATATATATATATATATATATATATATACACCTGGGTCAAAACAGGAAACACAGACCACTAGCAACCAAATAGGAGTTATTTATAAAGAAAGGCAGTAATACTCGCGTAAGTTGTTGCGTGGTATTGCAGTGGGCATGAATAAATAACCTACGACCACCTTCTCAGATTTAACTCCGGTTGTTAGGGTAGACTTACCACAACACAGGGGCTGGAAGTCGCCATGTCCGGGTCTGCCTTTTTTGGTTTTATGAAGTCTACAGTGGTCTTCAGAAACAGCAGACAGAGGTTTTTCTCAGGTGGTTCCGCGGACTCTTCACCCTTGTGACAGTACACACATGGGAGGAGAGGTTAGCTTCGTTGCTACTGAAGTCTGTTTCCGGGATGCACTGTAAGTTCCGCTGTGACGTCAGAGCGCAGCGGGCAAATCAATGATCAGGAACATACTAAGCTCCGCCCTACTTTGAAGGTGACGCGCCATCTGCAGTGCAAACCTAATAAGAAGTAGATACAGGTGTTTGTTTGTATTCACAGTTCTCCGTTCATATGCGCATATAAATAATTTGTTGAGTATCATTTACCGAGAGTGGGCATGCCTCATTTTGAAATTGTATTGTACACCATTGAAAGTGGCCGTATTTCAGAACAGGACTATCTTTTTTTGTGGCTTTTAAGGGTAATAGGAGCATCATACGAAGGAGAATTAAGGCCACATTAAGGGGGGGGGGTCTGATATTTCGACATTAAAATCATATATACACAAATAAAGTCTGACAGGAAAATACATTTATGATAATTAAGTTATGCATTTACTTGGATTAAGTCATACATGTATAATGATTACAGTGGCAAATTTACGAGAATAAAGTTATTTTAGTCTATAGTTAGGCCTAAATCAGAAGGGGAACAGCCGTCTGCCAACTTGTAAAGTTATGATTTAGTATAGGTTTCACAAAGGAAATCAAGGAAACCCTTTATCTTTTGGCACATCAGCATCACTTTGTCATAAGTATCGGGACTCTGAAAAGAGACTGTAAGAGACTGGGGATTTTCTGAAGAAAGAACCACACTGACGTGGATGAAATTGTCTCCTTACTCTTTAGGGTTCCACTCATCATTTTTCCGATACAACCTTTCAGAATAATAATTTTAACCATAGCCTCATTTAAATCGATTTACACATTTAATATCGTAACGACATTATTCTTGTAAACGTACGACTCTAATCTCAAAATGTCAGATTGTTTTTTCTTTAACGTGGCCCTAATACTCCGTCGTAGCATCACGCTGGAACTGTGGTTGTTGTGTGTACAGCAGTTGTCTGATTTTAAGAAATGGCAGCTAGTGTAACAACCCTCGATCTTCAGACCTCATCAGATATCACCTTTGACATCCTGTAACCAGATGTGATCAGTGCTTTCTATTGTGAGTAGTGATGAACACACCTAACGAATAAAAGACTCGATTTACTCATGAATTGTGTAAAATAAAATCTTTTCTATTTCAAATCATCCATGGGTACATTTGTCGAGATACAAGTAATAGTACATCAAACAAATTCAAGCCAAATCTGCTGAGGAGCTCTACTCTGCCCTCTAGCAGCTAAATAAGAAAATGTTTCCTTTAACAGTGAGAAAGTACAAGTGCATGCTGGCAGAACTTGTAACTGTGACTGTCTGAAATCCAGATATTAAAAATGATTCATAATGATAATACAGTAGCAAAATATGACATATCAAGAAAATAAAAAGGCTAACATCAAAAGAGTATTCTTAAGACATGATTACAGAAACAAAGTCATCAAACTGCACGACTTGATAGAGAGACGAGTAACAAAACAGACCCCTCTTAAAAATGAGTCCTTTCGTAACAAAGGAAGAGCAAGAATGTATCCATTTCAGCAAGTGTGGGAGCATGTAGGCCGTGGGGATGTGTGGCAAGTGACAATCAAACGATCAGTCCATTACATCTTATTCACAGCAAGAATACGTGTATTTGAAAGTTGAGCCCATCTCAGACTTTTGGAAAGGTTGGTAATGACTTTTCTTGATCCTGCAGCAGTCCAGTGCTTTGCAAAGAACCATCAGTCAGTCAACAGATCATCTAGCCAACTCAGAACATGGAGTCATGAAGAAGACATCTGGTGAACATTTGGGCATCCTGTCTATTTACCGGAAGAAGCTGTAAGGACAAATCACGGGAGCCTAAAGACCACGGTTTGTGAGTAGGCTAAGATTTAGTATAAAAACATATCACTTGCTCGACTGTGAGTTCTTCTGTTTTCACCCCACGTTTCATCCCAAATGTCAACCTGAAAGAAAGGCATCATAAGAATCAATCAAGCTTTATTTATATAGCACCTTTCATACAAATCAAATGTAATTCCAAGTTCTTTACAGCGACTGAAAAACAAGAAGAAACATAAAATAGTGACAAAACAGGGTAGAAATAAAAATGGATTTAGAAGTAGAGACTAACACAAATAGGAAATACAAAATGTGTAGTTAAAACATAAAAACATAATAATGATACAAATTTAAGTATAAAAGCCCTACATAAAAACTAGACTGAATAGGTATGTATTTAGTTTAAGTTTAAAAGTATCAATATTTTCAGCTCCTCAGATCCTCTGGCAGACTGTTCCAGCACCTCAGAGCGTAGCAGCTGAAATGTAGCCGGAGGATCTGAGGGGCCGTCCTGCTTCATAAATGAAAATAATCTCTGAGATGTAGTCCGGTGCAAGGCCATGTAGTGCCTCATAGACAGTTAAAAGAATTTTAAAATCAACACGAGAATAACAAGACATTTTGAAACTCCATTCATTCAACGGCTGCAGTTGGGGAAAAAATGACACATTTGACATTCAATGTGGACATATTTGAAGTATCTTCATAAAAAATAACCATGTATTGTACCTAGTTGCCGTTCACTTGTGTTGATGGTGTTCCCCGGTGGTCAATCGCTGCTCTCTCTCTACTGCGATTCTCTCGTTCTTCGTCTTCCTCGTCCCTCTCCTCGTTCCCACTGTGGTTTTTACAGTATAGTCTAAAAAAGAAAGAAGACCTGTCATCTTTCTGTTGCACAGCTCCAATGTAATCCAGGGATCCCTTTGAAAGTTCCATATGGTTCAGTGAAGATGTGACAGCAGTCAAAGTATCCTACTGAGTCATCACCTGTAGGTCAGCTGTGTTTGACGTGACCTTCTCCCATTAAAGGGAAACTTTCTTAGTAATCATTTGTAAAACTTTATATCAAAGTGCAGATGAACTTATTGCATCAATAACTTTAAATATTATTGGAATATCTCCAGCTGAAAATATGTTATAATAAATTACAGTCAAATGTTAGCCAGGTTTTGAAGTTAGAAGTTATATATAAAATAGAAAATGTGATTATCTCTAGAAGTGCAGCTCACTTGTAGATGCCACGCGCCATGTTTTCAATGTACTTTGCTTTGTCCTGCAGGCCGCAGTGATAGTGGTAGGTCTTCACACAGGCCTTGATTTCACACCCAATGGTAGCACCCAACTGAGTGCACAGGGTGCATTTCTGGAAAAAACAAAACCAACAGCAGTAAAGTTAGAGATAAATAAAGAATGTGATTCTCTTTCAAACTAACTGTAGTCTCGCTTTTAAAAAAAAGCTGATCGTCCCACCATTCTTTTCCCCCTCTTGATTTCTTGGATGACTGTTTTCACATCAAAGTTTCCAAACTCCGCCCGCGATGTTGTCGTCAGCTGCACTGTCCCCGATGAAAAGAGCTAAGAAGGATCATACAGAACAAAAAGATGTCAAATAAAGTACTGTCCGAGCACACACACAGACAACATGTACTCAACAATCTTACCATGCACTTGTAGTGTGCAGCCACTTTCTTTGAGTTGTCGGTGTGAAGCATTCCTCTTGTTCCATTCTCTTCATCACCTGCGTGACAAAAGCCACATCGCTGGCCACCGTCTCCTGGGCTGGCCCGCAGAGGAGACCTGTCCCGCTGGATCACAGGACGTAACAGTGAACAGACTGTTCAAAGTCACTTTCACAGATTCTCATGTGTGAACGGATATTGTGCCTTACATGGGAGGAGCTTTCTTCATCTGCAGCCTGTGAGGACGCCGAGCGAGCGTCTTCTGATTGGCCACGAGATCCGACCTTAGCTCTCCCCTTCTCAAACCTTCCCCGGCCTCTACTTTGTGGTGCTGATGAGTCTGAATCATTGGCCACACCTTCCTCTTCATCTATGGTTATAGAACATTTCACAATGACCGATTTATGGATTTGTTTATTTGACATGGACATACAGAAACATAACATTTAAACATGCACAAGTCCCAGATGCACTGCTCTCAAGGACCTGACACACCAAGCAGACAGTAAAAAACTCCTGTTGTCTGCCGACGCCTTTGTGTCTTGGCCAAAAAGTTGCACTTGAACACACCGCAAAGACTTCAGCCGACGGCTAACCACCACGTTTACGTTCTGTGCATGAGAGGAAATAACGCTTCATGCCAGCAGGCGGCGTTAATCTGTTGTTATGATACGAGAAGACCATTTTCACACCGCTGTCGGTCACCACTCGTATTATAGGTAGCCTACTAATCGAGATGTCTGATAAAAAGTTGAAAATGGCGCTGGCGTTGTCAGCCCTTGGTCTTATAGTGGAAAAAGAAAAGAAGTGGCGGAGGCGACAAATAAGGAGAAACCGCACTAAAAGGAGGGAAAGCATGCAGCGTGCTCAAGGGGCTTTCCTGAACCTGTGTCGAGAGCTGGAGATAAATGAAACCTCCAAACAGCCAATCAGAGAGTTTCCTCTCACCAACTGCACCGACGCCAACCGACGAAAAAAGGCAGACAGGGGGGATGACGATGTAGCGACGGAGCTGGACACACCGCAAAAACGAGGGCGACTATCGCTCACTGTCGGTTCAAATAGGATGTACGGCTGATGATCTCCTTGGTGTGTCAGGGCCTTTAGTGTTTAAATGTTAAACTGCAACACCTGTCCAGGAGAGGCTTTTAGATAAAACAGATAGAAATGAAGACAAATCAAAAGGAGAAGAAAATGAAAACAGCTGAGTTATAAATACAAAAAGGGATAAACTACAACTACAAAGAGAAGGCAGTAATTGTTTCTCCTTCAGCCATGGTTTAGTACCTTTATTAAAACCATTCAAACTCTGTTGCATTTTTAATTCAGTTGGTCGACTGTTCCAAAGTTTTATTGTCTGGTTACAGAGAGATTTGATTGGCTTTAAAGTTGTTTGTGAATCTTGAGACCAAGAACTGATGCAGTATGATAGATGTGATAATATCATAGCACACAGCTGGGGTGAGCTAAAGTAGAGATTAGTAGGCAATAATCTCCCTGAGAGAATGATTTATTATTGTACATAAAAAGTCAAATTCATGGGAGTGGGTATGGTTGAGATATTAAACGTGTCTTACCTTGAAAGCCGTCTTGAGAAGCATCCCGGTGTTTGCGGCAGTAAACACTGTTTGGGAGTCAAAATGAAAAGATTTGAATCTAACATGAATAAAAACATCTATGAACCGGAGTGGATGAACATGTTGAAGAATCAAACAGCAAAGTGACTTACAGGTAAATCCCTTGTGAGGGATTCTCTTTGATCTGGGCCTTGTCCTTCACAGCACAATAAAAGTGATACGTCCTCCTGCACGTCTTCACATCACAGCCGATTGTAGCTCCCGGTCTGTGACACGAAGAGCACATCTGCGGGGGGAGCGGGGGGGGGGGGGGGGTACATCATTCATAAAGAGGTTCAGCTAAAGAACAACCTTCAACATTCAGTAGAGATATCTAACAACAAGATGTGATGTGTCAACAAGTAACGTGAAATGTGACTTTATGATATTGGCCTTAAGGGTCATTTCTCTCAACAGATCATGTGGACTTTACAGACATACAGTAACTGTTTGTCTCAAAGGACACAAGATGCAAAACATCATCAGAGTATTATCTCTGTGGCGATGAAATCAAAAAAGCTGGAGAATTTTTTTTTAAACAAGAAAAGACAGAAGCAAACATCAAGGCTTCAAAAACAGAAAACTAGCAGATCAAGCTTGAACCGGCTGTGGATGAAGATGGCACAGTTCAAGTCATATCATCAATATTTATCATTTAGTTAGAAAAGTGATTTGTAGAGATAAGTTCATTGAAATTAAAATAAATGTATAGGTATATAAGGTTTATGTTCATTATAGACTACACTATACATTATATATATCTTTTGGGGTGGGGGGGGATCTTTTTGGCTTTATTGGATAGGACAGCTGAAGAGAGACAGTAATGTTGGGAGGAGAGAGAGTGGGGGTTGACATGTAGCAAAAGGCCGAGGTCGGATTCAAAAGAACTACAGCCGCTGTACATGGGGCGCTCAACATAACATCTCCGATCTCTTTTAATGCTAATGAGTGTTTTTGTTAACTGTACGTTGTCTCTCTTTGTGTATCTGTCTGTGACTCTGTGTCTATGCTGCTGAATGTCTCGGCCAGGTCTCCCATTGATAAGAGGTTCTTCATCTCAATGGGATCAACCTGGTTAAATAAAGGTTGAATAAAAAAATAAATGAAACCTGTGAGAACAGTTTCATTTCATGGAGAACCCATCTTATTGTTATTATTAACAGTGTATCATGAAATGAGCTGTACCCTGTATTCTCATTCAAACATGTGGATCTAGGGGCGCTGGTGGCGCAGTGGTTAGTGCGCGCGCCCCATGTATGGAGGCTTTGCTCCGCCAAGCGGGTGGCCCAGGTTCAAATCCCACCTGTGGCTTCTTTCCCACATGTCATTCCCCACTCTCTCTCTCCCTGATTTCTGAATCTATCCACTGTCCTATCTCTACATTAAAAGCCCAAAAATAAATCTTTAAATAAAAACAAAAAAAAACATGTGGATGTAGATCTTTATGTAGGCGGGACAGGCTGATGTCTTCCTTAAAGGAGAGATCAAACACACCAATTGTTTTTACTACTAGCTAGAGTCCTTTTCATTATACAGTACGTACGATGATTACAGAAATGGAGAATAGAGAGACCACCCTGAGAGATGGAGAGAGAGGGAGTTTAACAACACAGTATTGGTACTACATATGGAAGAAAACAGCATCATCCAGTATCAGCACACCTACCATCTTATCAACTGTTCACATAAAGTAAGTAGTACTGAGCTCTATGTCGAGGTGATGACACCGCTCACAGCCAGTTCACTTACATGTAAACTCATTTTCAGTTTCCTTACATTAAAGCCCTGTAACATCCCCTCTCCACGTCTCTGGGATTATTAATATTTTATATATAACGCCACACTGAGAGGGGCAGCAGTTACTTACCAATTTATTTCCCCTCTTGATCTCCTTCTTCACATCCTCGATGGAAAAGCCTCCAATATTTTCACTGTCTGAGTGAGACGTGACCAAGGCAGAGGAGAAAAGCTGCAAAGGACATTTTTATTTAAAAACATGTTTTAAATAATTGATTTTGACATGATGATGATGGTATGCACAATGTCTCCATTTGTTCATTTCTCTTTCTTCTGCTGACGTATCAGTTACTAAAACAATGTCAGAGGTAACATGGATGAAATGTGCTTTAGCAGCTTCAGATTCAATTTCACCGTGAAATACGAAGATATTATTTCAATGCTTTTCTGATGAATACTTAAAAATATATAAAAATATATATTTTCTCCTCCTTGAAATAGTGTCTCCTCATACAAACAAATGAAACAACCAAACAACTCCTTTAGTCTGAACTGTTCATTAATCTGGATGCTGTGCTCTTCTCACCATGCACTTGTGGTGGGCCGCCACCTTCTGGATGTCGGACACTAGCAGCTGCCCGCACTCCTTATCCCGGTTGGTCCTGCAGAAGGCACATTTAGGCAGCTTAGCTGCAGCTCCTTTCCTCTGTCCTGACATGACCCAAGGCTTCTTTTGCTGAATTTTCTGTAAAAACAAACAAATAAACAAATAAATATGTAAATATAACTCTGCATCAAACATGCTGGTGGAAACCCCACAGAATAGGTTTTATAAAAGCAGTGTTAAAAGTGTGTCCGATGTACTCGTCCTGTAACTCTGCCTAACGATGCCACACACACTCTCTTATAACAGCATTGTACACTAATGCACTCCTCACAAATACAGCTCATGATTACAGCTCACATCAGATTCATAATGGAAGACTTTAGATTCATCTCAATGATTCTCTGAGTCCTTGGCCATGTCAAATGAACAATGAAAATTGTGAGTCACCATATAAGCAATAAGGTGATACAAAAGCAGAGTTTGGAGTTGAAATTGACATTTCTGCTTTCTGTTGTACTGGTCATGAAACATCTCGTACAAACACAACAATATGAGATCAAACTGTGCTCTCAACTTCTTCCACTGAATATGAGTACTTTGAAGTAATGAATAAAACCTCTGCATAGAAGCCTTCAGAAACTCTATCCAATAAACAAAAAGAAACAATACTTCCAAAAGTTCACTTCTACTGCAAGAACCAACACTGAGCAGAGAGCAGTCTAACACGTCCTGTGTCTTAAACACACACATGGTGCTCATATATTTATTAAAGAATCAGTTTCACACTTTCTCAACATCTGATCCTCCTCCTTGATTAAGCTGCAGATACGTTCTATATGAATACTATTCTCCTGATTGTGGCAGACATATGTGAGAAGTCCTGCTCATGTTTGAAGAGGATTATATAATAATGTAATGTAAGTCTTATTGTTGAATGTGGTAGATGCAGACAATAGTGGGAGAAACTGCAACTAAAACATTCTTCCCCGATCATAATCAGTATAAGCAGGAAGAGAAAAGGGAAACCAGCAAGAGGTCTCTGATGAAACCCAGTTTACCTTCAAAGTCTTGGGACACCACAAGGAGAAGAACTTGTTTTTGTGCGTGCAAAATGAGAAATGTGGTTAAATATTTCCAATTTTGCACACATACTGTTGCACTTCTGCTCCTTCTAAAATGCACAACTTGCATCATACCATTTATACATGTATATATATATATATATATATATATATATATATATAAACATTTAAACATTTTAGACTGTGTAGCCTGTTGTTATAAGCACTGAAGTCTTACACAGTTGCTCGGATGTTTAAATATAATTATATATATATATATATATATATATATATAGGTATTGCTATTGCATCATATTAGTCATTTTACACGTGTTTTAACATACCTGTGTATCAATATCCTTTCTTTTTCTTGAAATAATAAAGAATGGTTGAAACCCTCCTCATCTCCAGAGTATAGATACAACCTCCAAATGTGTGCTGTCATTTGCAGAAATAGTCTGTTTCATTGTGTCTCAAACGAGGCCCGAGGCGCCACATTTATTAAAATTTGAGATTTGAGCATAAAATAAATCTTCTCGGTCCTTAATAGTCCCCAAACGAAAGTGTTTTTATAAGCACAAAAGCAGTGTGCTGCGACGCCTTAGAGCCATTACAGCCATGATAGCAGGGCCAGGATTTCACTGCGGCGGCTGCAGCAGCGGAGCCCCCTGAGCCTGCATTCACACAACCCTCTACATGTAAATAACATCTAATATCCTTTATTTACACCTCGGATCTTCACTTAAAGCCTCTCATGTCACAACCCTGTACAATATGTGCAATGTGTCGCTGATTTGTGAAGAGCACGAGTTGGATATAAAAAACCTCTCTTCTAAAGTTTTGAATTAAAGGGGGTGTGTGCCTCTTTCTAAACCAGCTATAACAGAAAACTATTTTAACTAAGATCATTTCTACGCCCCTCTCTCTCTCTCTCAAGGCCTTTTCATGAAGGAAAACTTAAGGTCGAGGGAAGGAAAATATGACACTTCGATAATGTGTTTTGCTCGATTCCGAATAACTGTGAATATTTCCCTTTAAATGTGGGAAATTATCATGACAGGCGCGGCGGGTCTTCGCAAAGCGTTTCGAAGTAAAGAGCGCCATACGTGATGTTGTTTCCCCGAGAAAAGAGAGAGCGGCTCAGCCAGCACTACGGCCTCATACGGACTATAGGCCATGAAACAGAACGACTACCACCCAGCCACTGGTACACAGCTCACAACTTACCCGCTAATGTCTTATTTCTCACTGAGACTAAATGAAAGGATGGTAAAGTGTTCCGATCAGTGGCGGTGTTTCTTTCCGTCCTTCAGAAGTGATCGTGGGCTTTTCATACTAGCATTAAGCTAGCTGTAGTATACGAGGAAGCAACACTTCCGGGTATGGCTTTCAAAATAAAAGTACCGTTCACGTTTGAGCTCTTGCAATGTTTCAATCTTGAAAAAGATGCAGGAGGTCGGAGTTAAGAGAAAACTGCTTCATAAAAAAACAACTCATGACGAAAAAATTTGTCAATATCCATTTAGCAGATGTAGGCTTACTAAAAGATTAGTCCGAGTTGGAGGTATTTGTACTTCGAGCACTACACTAAAACAATTAAATAAATATTAAATGTTGGTCCTTCATTCATCATGAATCCTTAATTACATTAAATGAATACAAGTGGGCTCCAAGATTAGAAAGTGTCTTAATTAAAGACCCTGTACTGAAAGTATTTCAGAGGGTTAATTTAATGTGCAGGCCTAGCCTACACTTATTTGTGTCCATTGCTAACAAGAGACAGTAGGTTACATGTAAAATGCACAGTAGGTTATGTGACCAATTGGTGTCCGAAGCAAACTTTACGCTTCTTATAAATTAGAACTGCTATGGACAAGAAGAAGGCGATAAGATGGAAAATGAATAGGGTATTGTTTTATGATGGTTTTCTTAGAGAGATTGATAAGTAGGAGACCTAATACAAACCCTGATGGATAAAATTTATTAAAGTACAAGACTTCAATGAAGTTGGGCAATAACAGGTTGGACCATGAAGATATGATCTGAACCAGGTGTATGACGATTTGTCAAGCCCAGTGAAAAACGACTTATTTAACATACTATTGTGACCAATTATAATCAAATACCTTATGTTGTCAAAATGTATAACTTAACCACAACATTGACAATGTCTGTTACAGTTTATTGTGCCATGATGTGAACTGTTTTTAAGGTAATTTATTTGAAACCTGGGTAAAACATGAGGGGTGTGTGTTGTGTTGAGTTGAAGAATTCACATTTTTTCATTATCTTGTTCATTTTTGGCTAAAAGAGTTAGTTCAAAGTTCATCCTAAGGGGGAAAAGATGCGTTATAAATCATTAGATCTAACTAAAGCAGCCCCTTAAAGGTTACTTTGGAGGGAATCTTAAACAGACAGGAAGTTAACTCAGTTAAATTAGCCAAATGTAAAAACAGGTTTCATTTATGCAAAGTAGATCCTGCTATATGTTGGCGAGGGGTTTGATTGGATATTAAGTTACATGTGGCTTAGCATGTTTTCTTATTTGCATATAAATGCTCTGAATTTATGTTGAACACGTGTTCAGAAAATTGAACTCTTAAAGGTGCACAATGTAGTTTTGGTAGTTGGAGAAATGTACAGATTCTGTGGTTTATGTTCATAACTCTATACACACAAACTGTCCTCAGAGGAAGATTTGGTCCCTGTAACACTGTTTGAGTGTTTGAAGTTATGGTGGGGGGCCGCAATAGTGAAATTGTTACTCTCCTGACCAGTAGCTTTTAAGATCCAAACAGTGTTCAGGGACCCATTTTTTTCTTTGAGTAAAGTTTGTGTATTCAGTTCAGAAAATATAGCATATAATTGTTTAACTTCTCCAACTTTCACATTTCACTACCAAAACTACACAATGCACCTTTAACCTTTTGCTTTAAAAATAAATATATAACATTTAAATACGTCTGTGTTTGAAACGTCTAAATCCCATAAACTTATGAAGAAAGTGACTGTATAAAAACCCATTTATTTTTTCTAAATGTCATTTTGTTTATGAGGGGCAAAAAATGACTAAAGTATAAATAAATAAATGTTGGGAGAAATGCATACAATAATGTATGAAAAAATAAATAATTAAATAAATGCATCAATAAATACATAAAGAAATATATATATATATAAATAAATGCAACAATTCATATAAAAAATAATATATAAATAAATATATTCAGATATTTATTTATGTATTTCTGTGTCCATGTTGTACAAGGAAAAGTAAATATGAGATGAGATTCAACTTTATTGTCATTACACATATACAAGTATAGAGTAACGAAATGAGGTTTGGCATCTCACCAGAAGTGCAAATAAGCAGAAAGTGCAATAGTCTGTGCTATGTACAGTAATTGAGTGCAAGAGTCTGTGCTATGTACAGTAATTCTGTGCTATGTACAGTAATTGCAAAATTTACAGATGTAGCCAAAAAAAAGTGAATTATTAGGTAAATCTAGATGGCTGGATTAATGGGATGATAAATTTACATATAAATATGTAAATTAAGTGGGCCATCCTAACATTACTGAAGTAGGACTGGTCAATTTTGAAAAACAGACAGAAGTAAATTTACATATATACTTTTCCTCTTACGACCTGGACACAGAAGTAAATAGATGTGTAAATGTAAAAATACGGAAATAATTGAACTGCATCGTCCTGATACCAAAGAAAGGTCGTCCCAGCTCTCTCAATGACTACAGACCTGTGGCACTCACGTCACGTGTCATGAAGACATTTGAGAGGCTGGTTCTCCAGCACCTGAGGACCTGCTCACTGCTTTCCAGGATCCGTTGCAGTTTGCACATAAGAGGCACATTGGTGTGGAGGATGCTATCATCTTCCTGACCCACAAAGCCCTGTCACACCTGGAGATGAAGGGAAGCACTGTGAGAGTCATGTTCTTTGACTTCTCCAGTGCTTTCAATACCATCCAGCCCTGCCTCCTGAGGGACAAACTGCTGGATATGCACCTGCGCCCTGACATCTCAGCCTGGATCTTCAACTACCTCACGGGCCGGCCACAGTATGTCAGAGTCGACGGCTGTGTCTTTGATGTAGTGACGGGCAACACAGGAGTACCTCAAGGAACTGTTCTGGCGCCTTTTCTCTTCACTCGCTTCACATCAGACTTCAGGTTTAACTCTGGTTCCTGCCACCTCCAAAAGTTTTCCGACGACTCCTCCATTGTTGGGTGCATCACTGATGACGACGAGAAGGAGTACAGAGGACTGTTGGAGAGCTTCATCACATGGTGTGAAAGCAACCACCTGAAGCTCAACATCAGCAAAACAAAGGAGGTGGTAGTGGACTACCGGAAGAAGAAGAGGCCCCCTGCCCCAGTCATCATCCAGGGGGAGGAAGTGGAGTGGGTGGACTCATACAAGTACCTTGGGGTACACATCAACAATAAACTGGACTGGTCTCACAACTCTGACGCCCTCTTCAGGAAGGGACAGGGCAGGATGTTCTTCCTGAGGAGACTCAGATCGTTCAGTGTCTGCAACAGACTCCTGAAGACCTTCTACCAGTCTGTGGCGTGCTGGTGGGGTGGCATCAAGACTGGTGAGGCAAACAGACTGAACAAGCTGGTGAGAAGGCCCGCTCTGTAGTGGGTCTGGATCTGGACAGTTTGGAGACAGTGGCTGAGAGGAGGATGAAGGACAAAATCTTATCCATCCTGGATAACTCCTCTCACCCTCGACATGGTGAGCTGTGGCAGATGGGCAGCTCCTTCAGCCAACGCCTCATCCCCCCCAGGTGCAAAACAGAGCGCTTCAGGCGCTCCTTTGTGCCCACTACCATAAGACTGTACAACAGCAGCCTATGACAACAATAACAGTCCATCCTGACACAAAACTTCACCCCCATAAAACACTACCCACATGACCTGCTTCATTATTATCATTGTATTATTGTATTATTATTATTACTTATGTATTATATATTAGGTCAATATATATACATATATACTGTACATTCTATATATTTTTATTATATTATTATACTAGTCTATATTATATAACATTTCATTATATTACACTATATTGTTCATATTGCACTATATTATATTATACTACATTATATTATATAACTGCACTCTGCATTACTGTGGTACAACACTGCCTCTCTTCTCTACTGTTTACATTACTTGCTGCTATTTATTTATCATACCAAGTCACCTTAATCGTCACTTGTCACTTTATCTTGTCATTATCTGGTCATTCTCTTCAAATACTGTCTCAATTCTCAATTCCCCCCAGTTAACTTCAACATTCATTTTTGTACTGTATATACCCCCTGTTTTTATTTTTATTTTTATTTTTATTTATCTTATCTATTCTGTTTAATGTGTATTTGTGCTTTCTTGTCTGTGCTGCTGTAACGCCCGAATTTCCCCTCTGGGGATCAATAAAGTACTATCCTATCCTATAAATTAATATCTCAATTAATGTGGAAATGTATGCATTGATACATATATAACTGTAGAAATACGCTAATAAATGAATAAATACATGTACAAATATATAAATAGCCTTTTTCATTAACAAAGTGTATTTATTATTTATTCATTGATGTATTGTTTTCAGCATTTATATATTTATTGATGCATTTATTAAATTCTTTATTTATTCATACATTATTGTATGCATTTCTCCCAACATTTATTTATTTATTTATACTTCAGTCATTTTTTGTCCCTCATACTCGTTGCCCCATCGTTTATAAATTGGGTGCACTTGATTGTTGTTGCGGGGCAGTCCGGCTGACACGGCCTCTGGTGGAGTCTGTGATCTTTCCACCCACACTAAATGTGTAAATATTGAAACATGCGCACCTACAGTGAAGAGGGAGTTCCCACAGCATCGTGTGGTCAGAGTCATTGGCTGAAATGAGTGGCAGTCAGTTTGTAAAGCAAAAACAGACCCGCCCAGTGTCCCCGGTATGAGGAGAGAGGACGGGGAGTTTCACCAGAACAGAGAACAGGGAAATGAAGTTGTCAGACAGGCCAGCACCAGCACTTCTCTCTCCACAGCTAGTGCAGCTAGCAAGTTAGGTGACTGACGATTTACATGAAATATCACAGCTATGAAAGTCGTACGTTTGATCAACTTGTAGCTACAATTGGTGAGACGGTCACAGATCAGAGATAAGGTCACAGACGGTTCAGAGAAACTAGCGTTAAAGTGAAGGGAAGAAAGTGAAGACAACTTGCTAGCCTGCTAGCTAACCTTTAGCCACCGAGCCTCCTTCAGCTTCTCATCCAGAGTTCACACGGTGAGTCTTGACAGCATGATATTTCAGCACTTTGTTCAGTGTGT